GCTCTGTCTCAAAAAAATAAAAAAATAAAAAAATAAAAAGTCAAGACAAAAGAAAAGATTTGCAAGCTGCCAGGAGTAAGCGCCAACTGACCTATGGGGCAAATCTATCAGGGTGACTGCGGACTTCTCTAATGAGAATGCCAGAAGACAATGGTCATCTATCTTTAACCTACTTAAACAGAACAATTTCCAGCCCAGATCTATATCCCACTAAGCTAAGCTTTAAAATTGAGGGAGAAATCAAATCTTTTGTTGATATGCAAACACTGAGGAATTTGCCACAACAAGACCAGCTTTACAGGAACTATTTCAACCTGTCCTATACACTGACCATCACAATGGACCTTCAGCAAAGTAAACACCCAGAAATTAAAGGACAGAACCTAGTTTCCACAATGATACAAAAGACAAAACTAAGTTATGGACTTTCACAAAATAAGATGAATAGAACGCTTCATTGCTTTAGATGCTTACATTTGAAAAACAGAAAGAGAGTGCATCAACAAACTCCCAAGCCATCTGATTGTTCAAGAAGAACAATCTAAGCCTAAACCCAGCAGAAGAAAAGAAATATCCAAAATTAAATCAGAGATCAATGAAATCAAAAACAAAAGAATCATTCAGAAAATTAATGAAACAAGGAGTTGGTTTTTTGAAAAAATAAATAAAATAGATAAGCCCTTGAACTAGAAGTAAAAAAGTAAAATCTCTAGTAACCTCCATCAGAAATGATAAAGGGGAAATAACAACTGATGTCACAGAGATACAAGAGATCATCTCTGAATATTACCAGAAACTTTATGCCCAGTAATTTGATGATGCGAAGGAAATGGATCAATATTTGGAATCACACCCTCTGCCTAGACTTAGCCCAGATGAAACAGATCTCCTGAACAGACCAATTTCAAGCACTGAGATCAAAGAAACAATAAAAAATCTCCCAACAAAAAAATGCCCTGGTCCAGATGGCTTCACACCAGAATTCTATCAAACCTTTAAGGAAGAGCTTACTTGTGTACTACAGAAATTATTCCAAAAGATTGAGGAGGAAGAAATCTTCCCCAACACGTTCTCTGAAGCAAACATCACCCTGATACCAAAAACCAGGAAAAGACCCAACTAAAAAGGAGAATTTCACACCAATTTCACTAATGAATATAGATGCAAAAATTCTCAATAAAATCTTAGCTAATAGATTACAGCTTATCATCAAAAAAGTCATACATCAGGACCAAGTAGGTTTCATCCCAGGAATGAAAGGCTGGTTTAATATACGTAAGTCCATAAACGTTATTCACCATATCAACAGAAGTAAAACCAAAGACTACATGATCCTCTCAATAGATGCAGAAAAGGCATTCAATAAAATCCAGCATCCTTTTTTAATTAGAACACTGAGGAGTTTAGGCATAGGTGGTACATTTCTTAAACAGATTGAAGCTATCTATGACAAACCCACAGCTAGTATTTTACTGAACGGAGTAAAACTGAAAGCTTTTCCTCTTAGAATTGGAACCAGACAAGGTTGTCCTCTGTCACCATTACTATTCAACATTGTGCTGGAAGTTAGCCAATACAATTAGACAAGACAAGAAATTAAAGAGCATCCAAATGGGAGCAGAGGAGGTCAAACTCTCACTTTTTGCTGATAGACTCAACCACAAGACTCTTGGAAGTCATCAAAAAATACAGTAATGTCTCTGGATATAAAATCAATATCCACAAGTCAGTTGCCTTTGTTTTTTTTTTGAGACAGAGCCTCAAGCTGTCCCCCTGGGTAGAGTGCCGTGGCATCACAGCTCACAGCAACCTCCAATGCCCGGGCTCATGCGAGTCTCCTGCCTCTGCCTCCCAAGTAGCTGGGACCACAGGCGCCTGCCACAACACCTGGCTATTTTTTTGGTTGCAGCCATCATTGTTGTTTGGCAGGCCAATCCAGGTGGCTGGATTCAAACCCGCCACCTTAGGTGTATGTGGCTGGCGCCTTAGCCACTTGAGCCACAGGCACTGAGCCAAGTCCGTTGCCTTAGTACCATTTGCCTTTGTACACCAACAGCCAAGATGAGAGGTTAATTAAGGACACAATTCCCTTCACCATACCCCAAACAAAATGAAATACTTAGGAATATATCTAACAAAAGAGGTGAAGGACCCCTATAAAGAAAATTATGAAACCCTAAGAAAGGAAATAGCAGAGGACATCAACAAATGGAAGAACAGGCTCAGCACCTGTGGCTCAAG